CTAAGGATATGCAGTTGATCAATAATGAGATCACTGGTGACCCTGGGCAGAGCAATACTGGATCACTTCTCTGCTTCCTTTTATAGTAAACTGGAAAGAGTGTGTCTACTTCCTTTGTCTATTTTCCTTCTATTCCTTTTTTGTTGCAACCACGTGATTAAGCTTTCGCTCTTGTTCCTCTGCCAAAAGTGTACTTCAGAATCATTAATGATCTAGGAAGGCGAGGGTGTGGGGGGATAAAAAAGAAACAAAATCATTCATGATCTCCACATTTCTAAATGCAACATTCAGTTCTTGGTCCTCTTACCTGACTTGGCAGCAGTGCTGACCCCCACAGCTCCTCACTCCCTCCTCCCTCCTCCTGGGAACAGTTTCTTCACTTGTCTCCTAGGACAGCAGGCCCTCTGGCTTACCTCACCAGCAACTCTCATGATCCCTCTTCACCTGCCTGTTCTCTAAATATCGGTATGTTCCAGAGTTTAATCCGTGGACCTCTTCTCTTCTCTGTAACCACTCTCTAAAAACTGAGCTCATCTCATGGCTTTAACTATTATCTATACACTGGGGATTCCAAACATACATCCCCAACCCAGATCTCTCTCCTAAATGCAACAGCCTATTCAATATCTCAACTCTGATGTCTAATGCGCACCTCAAACATGACATGTCTAAAACATCTCTCCAAAATGTAAGTATTACTCTCCAGTCATTCCCATCTCAGTTAGCAGTAAATCCATCCTTCCAGTTGCTCAGGACAGAAACCCTGGAGTCTTTCTTTCATATCGAATCTAACACTAAGTGTTACTGGAGCCAAACTACCTGGGTTCAAATTCTACTTCAGTCTCTTGGAAGCTGTGTTATCTTGGGAAAATTGCCTAATCTCTCCTGGCTTCAGTTTTATCACCAGTAAAACAGAGACAATAATCTTATGTATCTCATAGGTTGTTAAAATAATTGAGTTAATGCTTGCGAAGTGCTTTGAACAGTGGCTGCCACACATGGTATGTAGCATCTCTTGAATCTGATCACTTCTTACCATCTCCACCTTGATACCCCAGACTGGGAACCAGCCACCAATATCTCTCATCTGGACTACTGTAAAAGTCTCCTCCTAAATGGTGTCCCTCCTTCAGCCTTTGTACCTTTCGGCCTACTGGCAACACAGCAGCCAAAGTGATCTTTTTTAAGCAAAAGTCACTGCAAAATTTTTCAGCGTTTTTGTATGTTTGAAATTTTTCATCATAAAATTTGGAAAAAACAAAAGTCAGATTACATCACGCCTGTCAAAACCCTCCAATCCTGTACACTTCAGTCAGACGAAAATCTAAAGTCTTTACACTAACTAGGCCCTAAAATTAAGTTCCCTCTTACCTCTCTGACCTCATCTCTCTTCCTCATCTCTCATCGCTCCTTCCTTCCAGGGACGCAGGCCTCCTTCCCGTTCCTTCCCATGCAGCCATGCTCCCTGCCCTCGGCCTCTGCGCTGATCGCTCAACAGCCGGGGGGGTGCTCTTCCCCGGACTGTACAGCATTCACCCTCACCTTCTTTCAGGCTTTGCTGAAAGGTCACTTCCTCCACCAGCCACTATGCTAACTCCTTCTCTATTTTACTTTTCTCACAACATTTAGCATCATCTTCTATACTATGAAGTTATCAGTTGGAAGGAGACAAGTTAAATCTACTCCAAGTGCAATTACCATGGGCTTCTACTTTGTTGTCAACCCAGTAGACATATGTTCTTCCTTAAGATGAAAACAGATGATTAAGCAAAACTAATGGCTTTTTGCGTTGTCTCTAAAATGTTCCCTTCTTATGTGCAAATAAATGGTGATAAAATGCTGTTAATTCTGCATATCTTGTATCTATTTTCAGTGTTAAATTTTTCCAAGACCTGCCTACCTTACTGCCCACTTATTAAATAAATTTTTAAAAATTTGATGCTGAAGGACAAAGAGCACAGAAATAGGAAATGAAGCAGTGGCAAGACTAAGATGCAAAGCCTACTTTATCCTTGGCATTTAAAACCACATTGCAATGAGAACTCAATAAGTGGAAATATCCTGGAAAAGGGTAGAAAGACAGAAGTGAAACAAAAACATTTATTGCATTACTGCTATGCCATGGGCCTACTGAGTCTTCACATACATTATCTCATTTAATCCTTACAGTAATAGCAGCCCTCACAAAACTCTCAGCCAATGTATAGATGAGGAAACTAAAGCTGAGACAGACTTAGGGCCCAGATCCAAACCCAGGCAGGGCTATCTGATGCCAAAACCTGTATGCTGTTTCTACAGAACCTTGCCTCCTGGAGGCATCAGGTCAGCAAGCTGGAGTTAAAAAAGATTGTAAGTGGGGCATTTATACTCCATCGCTAAATTCCTGGGATAACTCCTCAGTGGGTCTAACTTTCATGAACTCATTCATAGCTGGGTGCTAGCGACTCCCTTACCTGTGGACATAAAAAATGGGATGCGGAACTTTCCACTCAGCACGCGGGCCCGCAGGTTCTGCAGTGTGCTTCCATCAAACGGCAGGGCACCGCACACAAGCACATAGAGGACAACTCCAAGGCTCTGCATCCCAAACAGACAGGATGTACAATTAATCACATCAGGGGAAACAAACACGACCACTGTAGTGTGTGTATGCAGATGATGGTGAGTCATGCATACGATTACGGAACAAACTTCTTCTTCTATCTTAGAACAGTTAACAATTTTCTTTGCTTCTAGGCATTAATTTAGGGTAACATCCAAATTTTTCTCAGTACTCATTCTCCAGGGATAAGGTAAATGGTCACAGTAGAAAGAATCTCTGTTCTTGGCAAGGGCCTCCAAGCTGACCCTTGGGGATGCAAAGGGGAAATTTGAAATCTGTGGCTCAGTCCACAAGGTAAGTATTGGAAAAAAGACTTTGCACAAGTAGGCAGGGTGCAGTGGCTCATCCCTATAATCCCAGCACTTTGGAAGGCCAAGGCGGGAGGATCACCTGAGGTCAGGAGTTTGAGACTAGCCTGGCCAACATGGTGAAACCCTGTCTCTACTAAAAATACAAAAATTAGCCAAGTGTGGTGGCATGTGCCTGTCATCCCAGCTACTTGGGAGGCTGAGGCAGCAGAATCACTTGAACCTGGGAGGTGGAGGTTGCAGTGAGCCAAGATCGTGCTGCTGTTCTCCAGCCTGGGTGACAGAGTGAGACTGTTTCCAAAAAAAAAAAGACTTTGCACAGGAATTGGGACTTGAAAGAACAGGTGACCAGGATCTCAATTCATGTGCATGATTATGTATCCTTCAGCAGGCGAACAGCTGTCATCAACCAAGGGTAGCTAATGCTGTGGGGTGTAAGAGAAGGCAATTACTTACCCAGATGTCCACTTTGGGCCCATCATATTCTTTTCCTTCAAAGAGTTCAGGTGCAGCATAGGGAGGGCTGCCACACCAGGTCTTCAGCAGCTGCCCAGGAGTGAAGAGGTTACTGAAACCAAAATCTAGAAAGGCAAATGGACATAATTCATATTATTGTTAACCTTTTTATTGTAACTGAGCAAACACTAGTCTCTAGTTACTAAAGATTCCCAATCATTAAGTCTGAATATTAAATGCAAAAAGAGAACATTTAGAAACCACATAGCTAGACACTTAAAACAATAATAGTGAAACAAAGATACAGATAAGCTGAAATACAAAGACAAACATGATCAGTTTATGTCAGCAGAAATAGTACTGCTCCCTTTGTAAACCGAGGCAGAATAAAGCGAGTGGTACTTGTTCTTTTAAGAATGCAAATGGGGCCGGGTGCAGTGGCTCACGCCTGTAATTCCATCAGTTTGGGAGGCCGAGGTGGGCAGATCATGAGGTCAGGAGATCATCCTGACCAACATGGTGAAACCCCGTCTCTACTAAAATACAAAAAATTAGCCGGGCGTAGTGGTGTGCACCTGTAGTCCCAGCTCCTCGGGAGGCTGAGGCAGGGGAATTGCTTGAACTCAGGAGGTGGAGGTTGCAGTGAGCCGAGATGGTGCCACTGCACTCCAGCCTGGCGACAGAGTGAGACTGTCTCAAAATAAATAAATAAATAAATAAATAAATAAATAAATAAATAAATGCAAATGAAACTGGATGATGTTAAGATCACATTAGAATCAGGAAACACATGTAAGCCTACTCAGCTGGACCCAGAATTTTTATGTTATTTTTACTTCTTATGACAAACACATCTATGACCATTTAAAAATTAGAAAAAGTGACATTATTATAATTAAGTAGTTTATTCACAAGGAAGAATATGCAACTTATTTACACACTGAAGCAAGAACGCTTACATTTTAACTTTCCTTGTGCTTCAATTTCCCTCCCTTCTTCTCTCTCTCTTCTACTGCTATAAGAGGCAGCAGATGGGAGGCAGCAGGGGATGAGTCTTTGGGAGCTACAGTAAGACAATGAGCAAGGATGGCCGGCCAAAGGATTGAGGCTTTGGTGTAGAAATGCTTTTATGTATGTATGTATACCCACATGACAGGCTAGAAATCCCTCACGCCCCAGGGACACCATGCTCCCTGCAATCCCAGCATCTGAAAATGTTAAGCACCCATCTACTCTCTGAAACTCGTCCCTCTTTTCTGGTTTTACTCCTGTTGACAACTCTCCTTTTGCTATTTGCTTTCCTTCTTTCTGCCATCTACAGAAGGTGTTTTTCAGCAGGCTCTGCTGATTTTAACTGCCTCTCCTTGCTCTATGTTTTCTCAGGGCTAACTCTTTTAATCTCACCACTTCTACCAGCATTTGTTTGGGGATAATTCCCCAAATTTATACGTCTGGCCCTGGTACCACTCTTTAAGTTCCTGGCATGAATCCCCAATACTTGCTTGGGAAGAAATACCTGAAACCCACCATTTTCCAAAGTCATACCTGCGCTTTCAGTGCATCTACCCTCATTAGTGACATCACCACCTGTGTTACTAGAAACACTGGAGTCATCTTCAAGTCCTTTCTCCCTCTTGTTTCCCATTTCAAGCTGGTAATAAAACTCTTACTGCTTCAACTCCGTGTGTCTTGAATCCACCTCCTCTTTTCTATTTCCTCTTCTACCCCTGCAGTTCATACTCTTATCATCCCTAGGTTAGACTGATGCTACTGCTTACTTCCTGTCTATTTCATTTTCCCCTAAGCCATCCTTTCATAGCACAAAGTTACACAAACCAGATCCTGTTACCTCCTCGCTCAAAAACACAGGCTGGCTCCCTTCTGCTTACAGAACAGTCTTCATCTCAGCACCATCATTTAAGGTTCTTCACAACCCAGCTCCATCCCATCTTTCCTATTTATCCCTGGCCATGCTAGTCACTAGACTATTCACATCCTGTGTTTATGTGCCTTCCATACGCTATTTCCTCTCTGTGCCATGCCTTTTCCTTTCTTTTCCATCTTTAATGTATCACTCATTTTCAAGGCCCGG